GGCCCTCCTGACTGACTTTTTCTGTGCCTCAGTGGCGTTGCCGAACCAGCATATAATGCAGAAGGAGAGCACACTTTCAATAAAAGCAAGATAAAACATCTTAACCATTCTGTTGCCGACATTAAAAGAGAATAATTTCCGTAAAAAAAACATTCTTTGTTGAGACTTGACATTTATTTTCTCAGAACAAACATCCCATCTGAGCTAGTGGTCAAGCACGACACCAAGATATTTGTGACACATTGAATGGGCTCGCTATTTAAAAGAGTAGGGTTGGGGGATTGTGCTATTCTAAAATCAATTTTCATCTCCTTTGTTTTTGAGGTGTTTAGAAGCAGGTTTGACTTCTCACACCAGTTAATAAACAAATCAAGGATTCAATTCTCTAAGAGCTCCTAACATTTTTATGTAAACATTTACAACCCCCTTAATGACTCTTTGGAGACCCGTCTGTTTTACTGACAAACTACGGCTGCTGTTAGAACGTTGGACATCAGGGATCCTATAAATATGGGTTTTCTCTTTTTTGCACGTGCTCAATTTTTCTTTTTTAAGTTTTAATCATTGATATAGAAAGGCACAAGTCTCTGCACACTCACACAATTACTTTTAGGTTTCCAAGGTATGCACTGACGTCACTTCTTTCATTACATTCCCTCCTCCGTTTTACATGGGTGCATCTAATGAATGACAGAAGGGGAAAAGTGGGATAAGGTTGATTATAAATGTCCATAAGGTTTCCTGAGGGCCCTGAAGGTATCAACCCCTGGTCCTTTTTAAAGCAGAGTGTTTCAGGAGTATGAGAAGTTTACTGGAATAAACGTCTCTTTTAAAGCAAACACCAAAAGACCTGAGAACATGTCAAACTAGGCAAAATAAGTGCTTAATGATGCATTAAGGTGCTCGGTTACACATTGTACTTTTCAGACTTTAAACCTTCATTAACATTGCAAAAGCTGTTCAAACAACACAGGGAAATCAACCAGCAGTTTTATATCTGAGACTGTTTAGTGTTTCTTTTGAAATGAGTGCAAAAGTTCAACAGTGTCTTCACAAAAATTCACATCTGGAGAAGTGTGTTTCAGATTAAATGCAAGACAAGAAACATTTGACTTTTTATCATTTATTTTGTTTTCTCAAATTGGATATAGACCCTGACGGTGCCAACGTTGGGAAAGGGGTTTAACAAAGCAAGTGATTTTCACAAAATAAAGGAAATGATGTCTTGAATATTACACATGACATGCTACAAAGTGTCTGCATCCGACATACAACCAAACGTTCTATAAAGAGAATAATTAACACTCATTCACACTTGATTTATTTTACAATTTACACGTTACACGCAACAACCCCTGAATTCCTATAATGCTTAGACATACTTCATTCAGCTATTTCGACACTTCCTGTTTGGTTAAAAAAAGAGCATTCAAACAGTAACAATATAAATAAGCTATACAAATTGTGTTAAGTGCGATTTATTAAAGTACAACAGCATGGCTCATCGCTGCAGAGAGGAATTCATTGCACATGTTTCACTGTTTGTCTTTTGATACTATGCTTGATTCTTTGGAAGTGACCCCCCCTGATGAAGTTCTTTTGCAAGAACAAACTGGATGAGCTTCTTCACCCAGGACGACCGCGGGTTCAGACAAACTTTCTCCCCGCTCGCCAGTCCAGCTCTGTAAAAAAGAAAAAAAGGATTAAACAGAGCCAAGATTTTAGAGACACAGAGATTAGGTTTCCAAAAACAACTGCCTAGAAAAGGATCTAAGTTAAGTGAAGTTATTTTAAAGAAAATAAATAATACAAATGGCATGTGCTGACACCATTACAGTTGTTTTACCTTAGATATATATTCATGTCTCTTCTGGACATTATTATGGCTCTTCAATGATACTAATCCTTATTGTATCACATACAAATGAGCAGCACATTGGAAATCTCCCCTGCATTAAAGTCAGAGCTATGTGTTGAACTCACTGGATAATATACAATGGCAAGAAAAGTATGTGAACCCTTTGGAATTTCCTGTTTTGCATGATTTGGTCAATAAATGTGATCTGATCTTCATCTAAGTCACAATTATAGACAAACACAATCGTATTGTTCTTGGATAGTATAATGTCAGAGTGGCTGTCCGCTGGCAGAAGATCAATGGAAGTTTGGTGGTTTTGTGGCAACAATAAAAAGAAAATCCGCATTTTAGAGAAGTTTAGTCCGAGTCCAGAACTTATTCCTGGATCTGGAGGGTTCGAGAGTTTGTCTGAGGTTATTGCTCCAAAACCGGCACTGTGAATGTTCAAAGGGTGTTCTCCATAAATACATGAAAGAATATAAATGTTGGTTTGCTATTAGCTTAAGCACATTGTGTTTGTCTATAATTGTGACGGATCACATTTGATGACCAATTCATGCATAAAACCAGGAAATTCCACATTAAGCTTTTCTCCGTACGCCAACAGTTTTCAGTGCCAAATCATAGCATGGATTTTTCTAATGTATTCCTCGAGGACTTGGTGTTTTAGTACGGTACCTGTCTTTGGGAGGGATTTTTGACCATTTGTATAAGTCCTGAGGAGTAAAAATGGTTTCTAATTCTAATTTAAACTCTTGCATGTTGATAACTTTTATTGAACACTTACATGACTTCTATGTCGGGGCAGTGGGGCCCTTCAGGGAACAGCTTGATGCTCCTCAGGCTGTCCGGCGGGATGATTCTCGACTCCACTTGAACGCACCGGCAGTGACTGTTGTATTCTCTGCCGATCGGTGGCATACCTGTCATCAAAAGACATTTATTTAGTCATGTTTTACCGTAAAGTGTGTTCAATCATGTGTCAGAACATGGAGATGACTTCTAGCGTTTCGAGGCTTTTAGTCATTGTAATGTTGAAATATCAGTTTAGCAGTTGTTGAAATCCTGTCAGTCTTGCACAATATGCAGAGGCGTGTGGCGCAGTGGATAGAGCCTTGGTGTTTGAATCAGGGGGTCACAGGTTCAAACCCCACTGCAGTCAGCATGTCGTTGTGTCCCTGGGCAAGACACTTCCCCCAAAATTGCTCCTGTGGGGAGCTTTGGATAAAAGCGTCTAACAAGTAACATGTATTATGCAGTGTTGCATATCCCAAGGAAATAAGAATGAGTCCATCGTTTTGTTTGGCTGTTTAAAGATTCGCCAGAGATGAACATTTCGCACTTCTATAATTCACGCAATCAAACTGCATCCTCCCCTTCCTTCTTTTATTTTACAAGGAACTTGGCACTGTGAGATTGTGGTTGCACTAGACCTGATGTTTGTGTTCTCCAAATAATTAAATGCTGACAGGTCCCCTTTCTAAATGCTTTCATTACAATTCCCTCTGTATTGCTACAACGCTCACTTCCCCATCTTCTCCTTTAGTCATCTTCCTGTTCACTACAGCGTAAATTCTCCAAGTCATGATGAAAAGTTTACTGGGTTACACAAAGGGGAAACACATGAGTCAAAATCTTGAATGCATCTTTTGGTCTGGAGGGGCCTTCAGCGGCGGATTGTAGCTAAAAACCGCAGTACTGTTTGTTTTGTGGTACTTCATACTTCTATTTCACTATATCTCAGAGGCAGATATTGTACTTTTCTCTTTATATTGATGGCCAGTGCCCGTCTAACAATGAGCTTTGACCCGCCTGCATGTGGCCCCCCTCCAAAAGAAGAGTTTATAAAGATAATACAATTTTAGGTACGTTGTGCTCTAACTACAACATTAACTTGAATGCATTTTGTTTCTCATAATGTGATTGAATAACAATTTAACCACTGAAACAAATTATGTTACTTTGTTTCACTTGTGCGCTTTGACTTTATGCAAAACAAAACAAAAAAATAATAATAATAATGTTGAACACTCATAAAAAAAACTAGCCTGAGCATGGCCCCACAAATAACATGGGTCTAGAACTGATTTGGAAAGATAACAGTAAAAAAGTGGATTTCCCCCTCGACCAACTGCATTTTAATTATTCTTAGAGATAAAATGCTTCAGTATATAATAATAAAACAGCATACTATTACTTTTAATGCTTCAAGAACATTTAGCTGATACATTTAGTTAACTTTTACTCATCTAGTTACGCTTTGGCCTTGCTTAACACAGGCTTTTTAGATGACAGCACATATATTATAATGCAACGATTAGACAAGTTCAAGTTTTAAGTCTCTGCAAGTTGATAGTCATACTTCAGAGAAATTAAAATACTCCAATAGCTGTCTGAAATGTGGAAAACATGTTAAAAATAATGTTAAATGCTGCAAAAAGTGATCAACAATTAATTTAATTTATTAATCTACAGTTATTTCAATTTTAGTGTATTTCAATACAATGGACCCAGTGGCGCCCGGCCCATAGGGGCGCTAGGGGCGCCGACCCCCCTCTTCCCACATTAAAAATTAAAAAATATATATTTAAAAAATACATATTTTATTTTTAATAAACAAGGTAAATATTATATAATTGGTATCAGTAAAATGTATAATCTACAATAAAATCTCGTTTAAAATGGTGTTACGATGTCCTTGCCCGTGTATCATTACCCTCTCTCGTCTGGGCGCTATGCACAGCGCCCAGACGAGAGTGCAGCAGAAGCCAACTGTTGCTATCTTTAAACTATGCCGCCAAAACCTAATTTCAGCCAATCAGCGTCGTCAAATCTGATGGTGACAGGGCGCCTACGTCAGCGCCTGGTGCAGTCTGTGAGTTGTTTGGACTCGTATCCAAGGAGACAAAACAGGAAGCAGTCAAAATATATATCGATTGATTTATACCTAGAGTGCGTTAGCATTTTTTCGCTCAGGGCTCATTTAGACGCTTCTTGTGAGACTTGTGTTTTGTTTCGGTAAACATGGTTCATATCATCAGTTAGCTGAGTTTCTTCCTGTTAAATGAGCAGGACGCATGAATAGTTTATTACATTTTAAGAAGCCCTGAGACACAGTTTCATGAGAAAAAAAACGGGGGGGAAAAGCCCCTTAACAGGTTAAATGGGAATGAAATCATTTTAAGTAATTTTGAGTGTTCCCAAAGCCCCGGTGTTCTGCAGTTTGTGTGGGCCTACTGTACTGTTGCACAGTTTATGCTGTAGAAACTATGTCCAGGACAAGGTGTTTGGAAGTTTTGGAAGATTCATAGCTAACCACACTGACGATTATGGAGGTATTGATCAGTCTTCTCATATTTTTAAGCCTCAATTTGTCCTCTTTCCCTCCCCCCCCCCCCACTCTACATCACCAGAAGAAGGAATTTAAGGGTTCTTTTCCTCATTTTTTTTACCGGAGGGACCATCCCCCGGACCCCCCTAGTATTGTTTTGGGTCACCATTTCAAAAGCCCCCCCTAAATATTTTCCACCGGCCGCCCCACTGAATGGACCTTTTGCCAAGTTTCATCAAGGGAACATTTAGGATACAGGTAACTCCATTATTGCTTTAACTAAAATGCTGTTTACTAAAGTTTTCCCAGATTGAGGATTTTTTTCAGTATTAGTGGCAAAGAACACGTCAGTTTCTGCAGTATTTCTAAAAAACGCCTGAGCCTTTGTAGGTTATTTAAACGCAGCAAAAGCTCAAACAGATGCTAAAACACATTGTGCGGTCTTACATAGGCGGAGGGCAATCAGGGTCCCAAACAGGGAGCACGATGGACAGGGCTTCATCTTGGTTTTTTGCAGCTGTTCGGTTGTCACTTCAGACTGATATCATTACAGCTGCCTGACAACATGGTATAATATAGGAACCCCGTCCAACCATCGAGTCATGTGCTTTTTCACTGTGGGGAAGAAAAAAACCCAATTTGTATACGTGTGTGGGAACGTTGGTTTTCACTTTGAAGCATTTCACATGTGCAAGCAGAGGCAGTCATGGGA